CACGGGCGCAAACCAAAACATGATCTGATGCCACATACCTAATTAAAACGCTGCGAATATTCATCTATGACTAACTGCTATGTGGTCACTCTGTGTAGGTCACTTTAACCGAACGTGGAGTGAATCCTTCAGATCCACTGTTCGTCTTCAGCGTCCTCGACTAGGGAAACAACATCAACAGACCGTAGTTCATTTGCTCAGAAGAGTTATCTCATGAATAGTTTGGTTCGAAGAGTTGTATTCATTGGGCAAAAGGAAACTTCTTGCAAAACTGCTTTGTCACATCGGTCAAGGATGAAATGAAACTGACCGGTCAGTCAGAGTTGCGAGTTTCCTTAGAGCAAAACCGCCTGTCTATCAATGTAAAACAAAATATGTACATTGATTTTCTTTTTGTAAAATTGCCTGTTGAACAAAAGGGAGGCTGACTGTGTATTCGAGCTCAAACGGTACCAAGTCGCCTAATAAAGGCAAGTTTCCAAACCTGTTGTAGTAGCTTATCACTCCCGACATCGACTATGGGTCAAGTACAGATAAGTGAATCACCTCGCTGTGCGTAATCGTTTGTATTATGCTCATTATGCCCGTACTAGACAGCTCAGGACGAAAAAAATAACGGTGTTCTTAGGCATAACTCGCTTGCACGCCTGTTATGGAAATATTACGCCACGAGAATTTCAACGCTTCCTAACAGTTTCTAGATATTTACCATGGGTTCTGAGGCGAATACATTAGGATTAGTGCCATTTAGGAATGCCAAACCCAAAGAAAAATTCATTTTCATTTCGTTTTTGCCCAATTATGTTTTCTAGAACATCGTCGACGGACTAGTTTTGCTATTATAAAAGAAATATGGTTAAATCTGGAACAGTTGGGCGAAAATCTCACGCACCACCCCAATTCCCAGGACATGGGGCCTCTAAGGATTACTGTGTTTTTTTAAGTTATACCGATGCATGCTTCATCGTGCCACATTGTCATAGCTTACTTCATAACTGATGTGTTTGTACTTAGGATATATCAACGGAAATTAAGCTTCCTTTCTAGCAGATCAACTATCTTGATCACAAGCGTTAGTCGGTGTCTGCAGTAGTGGAGTCCCACCAGGGCAACTTTTGCCCACCTCCGATGCCTATGGCACCGGGTTGAGGTCTGTCTATCTGTCCGTGGCAGAGTGTACATGGTGACAGTGTGATTCATAATGTTTTATGATCCGGAAGCATATTCTGTATTCGCGGAAGACTACGAAAGATGTCAATTTTTGACAGTCAGTGTCCCCGAAGAATTGTTTGAGTCTGGCGGGAACATAGGATTAGCACTGATGAGGTATGCCATACGGCCTTTTGGAAAAGAGTTCTTCCCTCATGAGTGAGTTGCTCAAGCTTCATAGGTTGCGCTAGTTAGGATACCTACCCAGCAAGCCATCGAATAGCCTACCTTGCAGAGCTTCTTTCGCCTGGCCCTGTGCAGAATGAAAAAGAGTGAGAGGCACAAAGTTTAGAACCTGGCACCGAAATATGAAAACATTAACCAATAAACTAAGTCGGGTCGATAACGTCCAACCGTTTGGATGGCGACCCCGAGACTAACCTCACCAATAGTTGATGACACTGACAGACAGCTCAATCACGTTGTCAATGATGATATTGAGTCGAAGCTATCCTTGACTGCCCTTAAACTAAATGATGATGCCATCACCTCCAGTCGACTCTGTCTTCCACGATCTCACATTTTTCGATGACCGAAGCTGTAGCAGCTGGAACCAACGTATCCTTGGCACATGGCTTATAGCTGATAATTGATCTGACTGAACAGAGTTCAATCAGGAAGAGGGAGGTTCTTTTATGTCCTCATTTCGGAAACAGCTGTGTGCCTACAACCAGGATGGGGGCCGGCAGCCACTTTGGAGGTGTTCATGTTTTGTTCGAAGGCTGATTCGCGCTCTTATCCAGTCAGCCACCTAGGCGACAATTGGGAGAGTTTAACAAACTAAATCGCTTCTTTTGACAGCTAGCTATGTATTCAAATTTAAATCTATAGAAGGCCTGCGTTTGAGCGAATACTTTTTATACGCCAAGAAGATTTTAGTAACCGATTTGGATGCCAAACTCAAAAGAAGCTACTAAAATTATAAACGCAGTTGAAACTGCTTCTGAAGCAACATTACCTAACGAGCCAAAACAATTTCAAACTAAGCTGCTCCGGTAGCAGTTTGAAAAATTCCACCGACAAGCGTTTTTGCTCAAATCTCTACCGCCAGCTACTGGAATTGTATTTACGCATGATAGTTGTTGCTCCAATGGTGTTTTGAGTAGATAACTGCACGGACACCACATTGTTTCCACGTAAAGAAAGTCGGATACTTTTATTAATATGTGTTACTGGAATTCTTGCAAATACTGAACTCGAATTTTAAAGGTGTCTTATAGCAAATTCGATACCAGGTCAAGGTTTTTTGAGAATTCTTTGACGGACATTGGGCACTTATTGGGACACACTAAATTGACAGTGTGTCATTCTGTCTGTACGCAAGAGCCCCTCAACAATGTGCCATCTTGAGAATTTTATTAAAACATTCTATCAAAAAGTGCTAGCATGTTTCAATGAAAACGGCGTAGGAACCCGAGCAACTCATTTCACTCTTTTAGCTTTCAAAAGCCTCTATCTTTTCCCACAGAAGCGTCCAGTTCTCCAAATTCGCTTACGTTCCATACGCAGAATGTTCATATGTGCGCTCTGAATTTCGACAAAAGTAGTTGGCCTCTTCAAGTGAAATTGTGCACAGTCACCGCTTTGATCGACCACGGAGTTCTGGCATCAGTATATGTACCTTTGCCTCTGTGATAACGCAGACCAAAACCAACACCAAGCAGATGTGAATTCTGCTTTGAAAATCAGCAAATCAGCCAACGGATGTTAAACGGCATATCTTAGCTAAGCTAGAGTCGATTGCCATCACGGTAGGACACTCAACGACTACACATTATCTTGTTACTGACCTCCCGGACTGATCCCTGTTGTGAAGCAGATAGCCTATCCAACTCAGCTTTTGAATTTCGTATTTTGCGATCCTGTAATTGCATCGACCGGAAGAAGAATTATCCAAAACGTTAGTCTGTCAATGCTCCTTAACTAAACTGGTCATGGAAAGACATTCGGTCACTGTAAAACTCACTCGAATTGTTATGTGTTAACGTACAACGTCACAAGTCGACACCCGAGTAGCCTACTCAAGCGCAAAGCAGTTTTAAACTAAAGGATTGCGGTAACTGTCAGCAAGTCCTGTCTCTCAATGCAGCGTGATGATATTTTCGGAGATTGCATCCGAGCTACACTTTTCAGACGGACCTGACAAACAAATCAGGCGAACCGTTTCCTGTTGTCCAGCATTTATTTACCTTCCCTCTAAACTGAAAAGTGAAAAACGATGTGCTGGCACTGACTGATTTTGCGTATTTGATTGTTATGTGGCTACCTGAAACGTTCGTTTCCGGTTCATACTAGACCTTTGGCGCAACTACGAACTTTTACAACGTATTTGTCTCTTATTGAAAGCTATTTTATGCCTCGTCCCACACCCGATTCCTAATACTTCGAAAACACTACTCAACTGAATGAATTACTGTGTAAAGTTGGCGCAAGCTGGTTACGACTTCTTTCTACCGGTCCGTTGCACTCGAGTTCTTCCTGGATATTTAGGTTTGAAACCTCTGTGACGTTCTGACGAAATCTCGAGCTCTCATAGAAATTTTACGGTTAATGAAAAAACTTCATACCAATTATCTCCGTTCCGCCTACAGGCCGGAAGCAGAGCAGTAGATGTATCATGTTTGTCACGTTCATTGTCTGTTTTCAATTGCACTCAGTCGGATCCGTCCTGAAAAGTTGCGCCCAAAGTGTGGACTAAGGGGTTAGCTGTTTAGGTAGTACATCCGAAGTTATTTTGTCGTTGGTGGGTCACTTTCCTCCGAGATGTACAATGAAAGGTGGTTTCAATCCCACACTCTGAGTAAGCGGAATCAAATCACTTCCGATTGTTTGATCATTGGGTTAACTGTTTAGGTAGTACATCCTAAGTTATTTTGTCGTTGGTGGGACACTTTCCTTCGAGATGTACAATAAAAGGTGTTTTCAATCCCACACTCTGAGTAAGCTGAATCAAATCACTTCCGATTGTTTGATCATATTGTTTTGTTCGGCGTTGCACCTCGACTTGAGCCTTTATCCGGCGAAGTTGCATACAAATTAGGTCAGCTTGGGTGGCGAAAATACCTAGATGAGTTTGGCGACCACAGTTAGCACACTTGGACAGGAAAACACGTTTCAAGTCTTGAGGACTTGACCGCATTAATTTATGCCTTAATCTGTATTCTGTCGGAACGACTGACGCACGGAACCAGTTGAGACTGTGAGAAACAAATGAAGTTTTGGCGCATCATTTAGCCAGTTACCCGTACTGTTTTTTTTCAAAACGTTTTTTTTGGATGTAACGGACAGATGATGCGAAATTCAACTGGTACCCATGTTGGTAGATCACACACCCAAAAAGGGAATAAGTTGCAATACTTGAAGGATGCTTGTGCCCAGAAAGAGCTAAAGAAGTGTTTTTACCAAACAGTTCACTCCATTTAACTAAACTGTGTTCTATTCCTCAAGTGACAGCACAAAAAGGTAGCTGCAAATGTGTCAAACTTTTGGACTGGCCAAATACACGAAGCAATACGATGGAGCTTTTCAGAATATTTCTTTCAATGGCATGCACAACGATTACGACACGTTACTATGCAACCTTGGAAAAATGACGCCAGGGAAAACAGTTCCCATTCATTGAACCTCGTTCATTTGCCCATCTATGTTTTTGATCCGCACAACGAAAGTTTTCACCTATCTCCGTGGCTAGGTAACGAGCTAGGAACTGTCTGAACACTGGAGTCTATGGGTTTTCAAGCAAGCCGGATGACGTTCTAGCCCTCACTTTCTACTGTTTTTCTCCATCACAGAAACATGGTTCCGGATAATATCTTGAAGACATTACTTTTCTCCGTGAGTTGTGGTTTTCAGAAACTTTTGTTTGTTGCTTGTTTGTAGCTTTGAAGAATTTAAATTGTTGAAGAAAGCCCATCCTGTTCACCTCTGAGAATGTACCGATGGTAACATTTGTTTTTTTTTGAATGCACATTTTTGTTCTCTTTCTTGATGCCATGACCCTAGGGCTAGAGTCACAGCTTGAGACCTTTCTTCAAAGAGAGACCCAGTAATCCCGGGTTGCAATCGGCAGTATAAGCCGCAGTGATTGGGTCGTGTGCTACGCCCGCGGGGTTACCAACTTCCAGGAAGTTTTGTTTCTCAAGCCTAGGAGAGCAACGTACAACTCGACGAAATCGAATGAAGGAGATCCAGAAACTTTTGGGTGCTGTGGGTGCCATTTACCTCCCAGGAATAAGTGCGCGTGGTTCTTCTTGTGGCTGACTAAACACGTGGAAGGATATGATGGCAAACCGAATTCAATGATTAGCGAATATACACTCATTTGCAAACTAATTTGGTTCTTTCGACAGACTCACCTGGAACCCAGCTGAATCTCTCGTTTATGATGTTCTCAGGCAACTGAATGTGCTGCACCAGTGTTTCGCTACGGTATTTGAAATATCGCGATACATGTATTGTATAGTAATGCACTCTCATAAGGTTGCTGAATAGGCTGCCGATGGATTTTCAACAACCTTATGAGTAGTAGATTACAAAGGTATGAATTCAATGATGTTCTTCCTGTCAGTTTCTATCCTAATTGTCTGGGTGTTCGAAGGGGTGGTACCTCGAGTACTTGTGGAAGATTGGCACTGGTACCCTTGTTTATGTGTTTCTACTGTTTACACATTCTGCCTGTTTTTACATAACTTGGTACATTTGTAAAGTAGTAGTGGACTGCCACTGCTCCAGGTTATGATAGGGGTGAAGAAATTTAGTGACCCGTTTTATGGTAATGCAGTTTCAATACACAATTGTCATGTACCAGTACGAAACATATTGTCTTGTTAATTGCTTGATCGCTCGGGCTTGGACAAGAGTGCTCCCAAAGAGCTCGCGTTTTCTGTTTTTCCCATCTCAATATTCTCAGCCGAGGATGACTAATCCCCTTAAGAGTGGAGACCTTGGAGAGCGCGAAGGCGATATTAGTCTGAGGCTGTTGCCTTCAGAAGAGGAGGAAAATAAGCATTCTCTTCTTGAAGGAAACTACTCACAAGGTTGTGGAAAACTTTTCGACAGTCCACGACCGGTTTAGCCCTTCTTGGGGCTCATCAGGTAGGCGTAGTCCCCGAGTTTTGGTCAACCTACGCCTACCTGATGAGCCCCAAGAATGGCGAAACCGGTCGTGGGCTGTCGAAGAATTTTTAGCAGCCTTGTAAATAGTTTCCTTCATGAAAATATACTGTGATATCTCGAATATCGTGTCAACTGCAACATGAGGCGGCCTGTGTGCAGCACATTCAGTT